AAAAAAGGACTTTTTAAAAAAATTCATAAAATGCAAAACTGAGAAACTGTTACTACTGTAAATCAGAATGTGTTTCATGAATATGAGTCTACCTCACCTATATTGCACTCTGGCCCTAGTATATCCCACCTTTAATTCCCACCCCAAACTCTTCCCCCTCTTGGGCCCCCCCTATCCCCATACTACATCCTAGCCTCACAGAAGTCTGGTCTAATGTGTCAGTAGTAGATGTAACATTTTCATGGTAATCTACTAGCTCTGATCCATAAGAAAAAAGATAATAGAATCAGGAGATTCCCTTGCCTTGATTTTTGGAAACAACAACGGTATAGGGTTGTTTATGAAAGATATTGAAAAGTAATTGTTGGTTATGCTTTAAAGCAGTGAAATTATTTTCCTTTATGTAACTGGCTAATGGAAGAGGTTGGATTGAATTTTGATGTACTTATTTTTTTATAGATATTTATATTCGAACAATTTATTTCTTATATTTACCATGTTAAATATATGTTTGGGCAGGCCATATTGGTCTATGTATTTTTTTTTAAAATGTATTTCTGAATGAAATTGAGAAAATGCTTTGTTTTGCCTGTCAAGGTAATGACTTTAGAAAATAAATATTTTTTTCCTTACTGTACTGATTTTGAATCATTTCCGAAATTCCTGAGGAGTAGGCCAAGGTGGTAAGAATTATGAAGGGAAATGGTTAAAGACGGTTTTCGTAGAAGGGTAACAGTTAGAAGGAAAACAGCCCGGGCTAATTATAAAGAGAACTTGATCTATATCGCATTAAGGTAAAAACAACACAAAACAAAAAACCCAGCTTTAACAGCTCTGTCCTCCCTTGGATAGCAGCCTCCTGCTTCCCTTTACCTGAAAACTCCCTGGGGACTTCATCCATTAACTCTGCCCGGCGATTAGGCAGGACCCAGCAGTTTAAGCTGATGGTGTGGTGAGAGGTGCCTTCTCCATGTTAATAGATTGAAAGAAGTAATGGCAAGATGCCCCCCTCAAAATACCTAATTATACATCGTTCCACACCAGAGTCGCTTTCAGAAAATGCCCTGCTCAGAGCAAGTAGAAGCTCCCAATGATTTTTTTATTTGCTCAGATTAAGAATTTTGTTTATCAAGGAACATTGAATACCACTGCAAACTTCCTTATGACAGCCCAGGACTGGCCACGTGCCCATGGAGGTAGGGACACCAGATCTTGATTTTAGGTCACCCGCCTGGCAGCACCCCTTTTCTCTCCATTTTGCCTTGGCCGGCCCTGCTAAACCATTGCAGAGAACAGTATTGTATGTAAACGGTCGTTAGCAACACACGTTCATAAGTGAGGATCAGCCTTCGAGAATTTTCCCCACCCTTCTCTAATAATGTCTGAAAGAATGTCCGGCATTCCACAAATATTAGCTGGTGGTGATGATTGTTGTCCGAACAGTGACACGTCGGGAGAATGTCAAACAACAGTCTTCAGCCGTGCATAGCCAATGTCCTGCGCAGGGTTTCCAACTTTACTGATGCTCCTTTTTGTCTCCTATATTTTTTAAGGCACAGTCTAGTGTCTTTGAGGAATTGCTTATGAAGCTTCCTTTATCTAGTTAACTATTGCTCGGAGTGTGGTTCTCAAGGGGATTATGAGTTTCGCCTACATTGACAAGGTGCTTGGCTTGAACTCGGCCACTAGTCAATCTTGAGCAAACTATTCAATTCCCTTAAACAGTGAGTTTCCTTATCTGTTAAACGAGGGAGTGAGGGCGTTTGTCTAACAGCTCCAAGAGTCTGAGATGACACAAAGAAGCTGAGAAGTGGTACGAAAAAAATGAAGATCTGAGTTTAGAGGACAGGGGTCTACATACATGTACGGGGAAGTTGGAATGGGAGGAGCCAGAGAGTAAAAACAGGTCAAAGAACAACACGCAAGTAAGAGTGATAAGAGTTTTTGTTTATTTGTTTGTTTGTTTACCAGACCCTCAAATCCTCTGCCCTGAGGCTTCTTGCTTTAGTACCCGGCAAGAAAAATGAAAGTCATGAAGCAGCTACTCTAGGGCATGAGGATTAGCAGTAAAATAAGTTGGAAGGTTCATAGGAAATTAATATTTTTCAAACATGTAGAGGAAAAATTCAGTAATATTCAAGGCCCACACCAGCTTGAGGGGTGAACTGATGGGATCGTCTGTCGCACTTCCTGCTGTGTTTTTTTCATAAAAGCATGTTTCTGGAAGCCCACTTAGGACAGATTTCTCTCTTCACATAAACAGCCCAGTTGAGCTTTGATCTCCGGACTCCAAGGACCAGGGGGTGCTGGGTGGGGAGCGGTGACCTTTGGGGAGGAGGGATCCCTACTAATAAGTACTTTATTTTTTACCCTCAGGGATCGGCTTCCTTTTTGATGGAAACCACTGGCTCGAATCCTGCCTGTGCTTCCCTGAAACATAACTCAGGATATCACAGTAATCTAGAGTTCCCTGAGGAACACTGTTGCTAACCTTGAGAAAGAGCAGCATTTTGTCTTTCCAGGTGAAAAAGCCGAGGCCCAGAGAGGGAGGTGACCTAGGATCACACAGTGAGCTGCCGCGGCGTCTCCGGAGCCTGAACACTTGAGCTGTGTCACCCAGAGGCACCTGGAGGTCGGCAGAAACCGCCGCCCAAGCAAACCCTGACAGAGGTTCTGAGGGGCAAAGGCAAATCGCTCCTTGTAAAAGCTTTGAGAGAGAAGAAATGTCAGGGAAGAAAAAGGTACATAAGAAGGCATAAAAATCTCAGGGCATCATTAAGCAAATTTTTATAGGCTGAAATAGAGCATAACTAGGAACTCAATTATGATTATGTTTTAGAGTTTAATCACCAAATAATCTTTATATAATATAAATGAAGGGGGAAATCTCTCGCTCAGTTCTCTTTTACTCTATAATGCAAGGCAGTGTGTTTTTTTCCTTTTAAATTTCTGTACCTAAGGTTTTGAAATGCTCATTTTCGAGATCAAGTTCTCAATGTGTAAGACACATTGTTTTCAAGCCCGTGTTCTCAACGGAGTTCCTTCTGTTTTGGTTTTCTCTCGCCTTTGTACTCGCAGTTCCTGGGACCCCAGGTCTGGAACTCAGGATGTACCTACTGCAAGTGAATGCATTTGCTCTCACGACCTTA